ATATATATATATATATATATATATATATATATATATATATATATATATATATATATATATATATATATATATATATATATATATATATATATATATATGTTTGCAAAACATCGGGAGTTGAACTTCGCCTAATCATTTTTTCTATTTATTGGATGATAGGGGTGTGAGTGGTTTCTCAACCAGGCGATTGTGCTATTCTTGAAGCTCGTTGACTGCATTTCGTGCGTTTTCTGAAGCAAATTCGTAAACGAATTGCACTAATTTTCGCCAAGGCACTCTTTTAAATTTCGCCAAGGCACTCTTTTAAATTGAAAGGGCACCTTTTCCCCCCTTGCCCCTCCTGGTAAAGGGCAACGGGGGCGGCTGCCCCTCCTGCCCCCCCCCCCCAGTTCCGGAGTCCCTGGTTCTGCTTTGAATTTTTAGTTAGCTGTATAGTTATCTTTTTAGTTGTATTCAAATACAATATCACTCCATGCAGCATGTCATGTATATTGCTAAAATTGCGCTACAGTATATGTGATTGATATTTGATATTACCAACTCATCTTTATTTCTACCGAAAATTGTGCATCGGTTTTCCCGAGAGGTGCCCTTAATAAGTCATTGATTCGATCAGATTGCGCTGCTTCCTTCGCAATTCGGCATATATAGCTCTCTGCTGGTAAGTAAGAATGATATGTCGATCAATTATAAATGATCAGCACACCCCCATGCACTTACTTACTTATTTGCATTTGCTTTTTTGAAGTTCCTGTTCTCGGTCAAGGTCAAGCATGCATGTTTGGACAGATAAGGTCCTTTTAAGCTAAAATATCATTCACAATTTAGCATGTTTGGACGGCCAAGGTTGTTTGCCCGATCCGTGGTCTGTCTAGAATGCTGGGTTCAACTTAATTCTCTTGAAATATGTGATTGCATAATCTTGAAAATTGCTTGTCAAAAGTTGACTGATATATACAATAACGGTCAAAATTCTAATCAATTTGTCCCATTGAGTGCCCGTTTTAGAATCAATATTCCAGGGCCAGGGTAATTGTGGTAGGTCCTACTGGGGCGATGACTTCATATAAAAATAACGAGTAGGCAAATATAATGCAGTTATGTTATGTTATTTTTACCTACTGTATCACGAGAGATCTATTACTTCAAAAATCCTCTTACAATTCGTTAAAAATAAAATTATCTTCTAAAAAAGTCCAATAATTCCCAGAAAATCCTAAAATCTCTTGCAAAATCCCTTTCAAAATCTCATGAATCCTGAAATTGAAGCCAAAAACAATATATCCTTTAAAATCCGATGAAAATTAAGAAACAAATCCCAAAATCCCTGAATATATTAATTGTGGAGATTTCGAAATCCCCAAAATCCCCATTCGCTTTTCTTCAGGATTATTCACCCCTCCCTGTAGCCCGGCCATGCATGCACTCGCAGATACGATATTCTTTTTGTTACTGTTTTGGTGGGTTATGCTTTCATGTACTTTTTCAGTTCACCAGTCTTTTTGCATGCATAGCTAACTTTATTCTCGCTATTTTTAAGGATGGGTTAGTTCTCTTGCACTTGGCAACATGTTCTTATTTGCGCCCCTCACATCAGCTCTCTGTGAGAAATTTGGCTGTCGCCGTGTTGGCTTCATTGGAGGTCTGCTTACAGTAGCTGGAATGTTGGCTTCATCTTTTGCGCCCAATCTATACACCCTTTACGTTACGTTCGGTATGGTGTATGGCATTGGTACCTCGATGTGTTACTTTCCGACATTGCGCACATTACCATATTGGTTTTCAAGGTATGACAAACTCTCATTTCATTGAAATTATACTTATTTATAGATAAATAGAGTAGCTATTAATTACAGTTTTATATTACCAGTTTTTATGCACCTGCGTCGAATCAACCTTATAAGTTATGCATGCATGCAACTGTGTTTTTGTCATGAACGGATGGCATTTGTTAAAACAATGATCGTGCAAGCGTATGTCATAATCAATCTTCAATCAAAATATTTCAGGATCGTACGTGATATGCATGTCAGCATGTATATGGGGCCCACCAAGGGGTTATGACCGACAGGCGACATTCCTTAAAAAGAGGCGACAGACTATCTAAAAAAGAGCGACAAACGACAGCTTCTGGACTGGGAAAAAGCGACAAATTGCGATTTGTGTTATGGGTCAAAAGTGAGAGCGACATTTATTACAATAAAACAAGCGACAAAGCAGTTAAGCAGCTACAAAATTAGTGACAAGCGACCTAGGTTGCACCCTCGGTGGGCCTCGTATATACCGCAGAGAGATGCATACATGCTAGTATAGGCGTCCAATATAGCTACCTACAATATATTATGCCCGATATCTTAATCACGAAAATAAGGCGTAGTACTTTCCGGAAGGGTGTATTCTGACCGCACAAAAACTATTTTGCAACGTGCATTTTGAGTAAACACTCGAAAAATGTCGATTATCATTTTCCAATATGCGTGCACGTGCATATTTAAACTGACATACCGATTGAAACGTTTTAAAGTTGTGGTTTCCTGAATGGTTTCCTGAAGTCCTTAAAATTTCTGAAATCCTTTAATTCTACTAAAGAGCAGTTATTATTTGTAGGATTATTGAATTAGGCTGTGGACTTCCATCTTCAATTTGACAGTACATTGATAGAGTTACACTGTAAATTTCAGGGAGTTAATTTAACTCCAGTGGTATTATTTTCAACTTAATTTTACTCCACATTTGGAGTTAATTGAGGTACAGTATAACTCCACCGGAGTTAAATTAACTCCCCGAAATTAACAGTGTACATATAGAACATGCGTGGTAGATTTATTATTTCTTACATAGAATTGTGGTACTAAAATCGATATTTGATATGACATAATAGGCCTATCAATTGATATTGCTATATCATTTTTTGCCAAATCATACCACATGCATTTTGAATAAGTTTACCAATCCTAATCTTGGTATTTAGGTTTCAACACCATTCACTTTCACCATGGAATTAATTGTGTGTCATAATTACTAAATTAATTTAACGAATCTTCCAGATTTGCATTAGGCCACGCCGTTTTCATTCTTTGTTACGGAATTCCCTAACTTGTATTTTTTAAAACAAAGAGAAATAAAAATCCTTCTCCTCTTCCGATCAAAATACTAGTCTTTGTTTATAACTTGTATGTTTATAACTTGAATTAACAGCTTATTTAACCTAGATTTTAGTATTTAGTTTAGCCTTTAAGTATGTTTATCCATTTGATGTTATTTATCTTATAACGAGAAAATTTGAAACTGTTCCCCTTTCTATTGTTAAATAAATATAAAAGGAAATGTCTCGGATTCCCTGTGACAATATTTTGACAAAGAAAAATACCACCACTAAGTGAGGTCATTGAGGTGAGATTTTAACAAATCTTTGGGGTTTTTTTTTTACCATGCATGCATAAAAAAGGTAAAAAAATATCGATCAATCTACGAGATTTTCCACACGATATATGTTTTTTACTTACAGAAGTTTCAACGAATTTTTTCTTCAGTTTTCGCATGAAGATTTGGGATTTTCGTGAAAATGTGAAATTCATTTTAGATCATAGGATTCGCTCGGGAATCATATAATCATATAATGATGTTATGCTATTATGCTATAATGTTATTATACAAATAGCGAATAATGTTATGCAATGCAGCATGGTGCAATTTGCCGTCATAACTTTCTCTCGAGTGCAACTATAGGTAAAGTTTCTACTGTACAACCTCATGGTTATTTTCGACATCTATCTTAAATCTTAATTAAAACATCGTTTTGAAAATATGTATGTGTTCCAATTGCTAGACATAAAGACTCGCATGGGCATTCAAATAAAGTTTAAATTCGATTTGGCTGACCAGAGGTTTTCAGGCAGGACTTAATTTAGAACTTTATTTTTCCTGTTGTCTGAGCTGAGCCTTCAATTGTTATAACTGTAAAATTAATTTAAAAAAAATAAAAACGACTACATTTACTAGGGCAAAAAATACCAAAAATAAAGGAAGAATTTTAGTACTGAAATATAGGAATTAAAGAATTTCAACGTAACCGGTGATAGGAATGGGCCGAGGATGGATGGGACGAGGCCTGAATATTTTTGACGATATTTTTCTTCATATTTTCCATCCATGCATTAACCAAAACAGACCTGTGTACTGTTTCTGCCTTGCACCTTCCGTGTGAATAATATTAGACGTGTGCTTGGCTCGACTATGCGATGACCGGTACTGCATGGTTGGGAAAGATGAAAGTCAATTCCTTACTCTTTAGCATACCGATCTTGCGGTTGAGGTTCCTATATATTCAGCAGCGCTGGCTTACCGTCCCATATATGTCCGAGACTATTCTTTGTTTGCAATGACGTAATTTTGTGATTTCGGCTGACGGGCAGCTAGGTATAACAAAAAAGACTTTTAATGTATTGATCGAGTTTAGAGTCCGTCCAGTTTTTCTTGCTACAACCATTCTGATAGGAGAAATATCGTCCAAAAGTTGTTTGATTGCCCGTCATTTGGATGAAAAGTCACGTGATTGCAAACAAAGAATAGTGACGAGAAAAAAGGCGAATGCATGATTTTACAAAGAGACTTTGACATACTAAGATTTTTGAGGAGAAATCAGTGCATTAGAGTACGCATTATATTTTTGCATGCCATAGGCTCTAATTACAGGATTTTTGGCATCTCACTCGATAGAACTAAATGTTGAAGGATTTTGTAGATTGAACATTCAGGTTTAAATTTTATACATTTATTGACTCTAATCACAATCGTGTGTCCATGTATTAATTTGCATGCAAGCTTTATAGACTTACAGTTGGAACAGTGATGCAGTTGGTTATTGAACTGCCACTAGACAAACAGCATTCTTTTACATAGGATACAACATACAAGTACCTGAAAAATGCTTTTTTGCATTTTTTTATATCACCTCCTAAAAGACACCATTGTTTGCACTCATCGCTACCCACTGCACTGATACCGACCGTGCGACATTTTTGTTGCTAGACAGTTTCACAGTGCACCCATGGCGTATGACGCACAGAGCATGAATATCCCATAATAATTTATATTTAAGATAAATATTTGGAATGGAAAAAAGTTGCCCAATGCATGTCATCTGCTTTGCAGACAAACAGTTGGTGGTCAAAATCTAAATGGATATATCAAATGTGAGACAGATGCGTGGATTGTCCATTTCCACCCTCTACAGGGTTGGGATATTGCACAAGTCGTTGCGTAAAATGTTATGTGTTAAAACTATGTCCGCAACATGAACATATATGAGTACAAACACTGACCAGTGTCAAATACAGTATAATATATTGACATAACTGGTATGCAAGATAGTATAGATATTGATGACTAGTAAACACAGCTGGTAAAGTGTAGGATTCTATATAAAAGCTCCATTGTTTGTTAAATTAATTACCAATTAATTAAGCGCTTAAAAATTTTGCAATGTTTTGTTAAATCTGAACCAAAATATTTTCTTACGTTTTATAAAGGTCGCTGTGGCCGGACGTTTCCCGACCAATTGCCGACTGACACCTCATCCATGCTCAAGGTTGTTTGTGTTACTGAGTAAAAAAATCGGCAAACAAAACAATGATAAATTTTAGTAGGTTCTAGTCATACGTTTTGTATTAGCCTGCGTAGCAGGCGGTAGAAGCTAGAAATACCGCCTGCCCAAAAACTACACATTCTGAGTTCCGCCCACCGAACGCATGGTCCCGCCCATCTTAATATGTATTTATTTTAATTATTTGTCAAACTCACAAATATACGGCTTTGACGTTTCATATCTTCGGTTCATTCAATGCTATGAAGACAAAAATACCACGTTCGATTCAGTGTACCAATATGTCCTCATTCATAGCGATAGTTTTAGTCGATGTCAACATTATAGCGATTTATGAGCTTTGAAAGTCAAGCGAGTTCGTGTATTATCAAATTACGCAATTGTCTGAACAATAATATAGGACTAGCCATACCTTTCGCCGAACATAACTTCGGCCCCTTCGGACGTAACTTTGTAATAGTCTTGTTCCAATCGCTATCAAAAACACTACTTAGAGTGTCATTTACAAGGGCATATTGTAAACACTGGACTGGACTATGGACTTTGGACTATGGACTTTGGACTTTGGACTCGAGCCTGTATCTTCAAATCTGCACTTTTATCACGGTATCACATCTATGCCATCACTCGATATATCGGTATCAATTACGAAAATAACAATAGTTTATATTATAAATACGGCAACAGTAACTTCTATAATTAGCACTAATTATTCTAATTCTTTACTCCTGTCAATCAAAAATTCAGAATCAACATTCTGACCAATCAGAATGCTCCGGCACCCAGCTGCCGGGGAGAACTCAGAATGTGTAGTTTTTGGACAGGCGGTATTTCTAGCTTCCCATTCTCTCGTGCCCGCGAATACCGCCTGCTACGCAGGCTAGTTTTGTATCTGTTCGTGCTAGTCGTTCTATAGCTCTATAAAATGCCTCGTCCGATAATTATCTGTCATCGTGAATACACTTCGTTGACTATTTTAATACCGTGGCACCAGCTTACATAACTCTTTAAACGTGCAGTAACGAACCAAGCTTATTTGAACATGTGATTGTATGAAAGATCTTATTCACTAGCCGTTGTATTAATTTAATTTAAAATACTCATTAAAAATTCATAAACCTTGTGGCAAATCATGTCAGTCATAAGGGACCGGTCATAAAGTATCTACAACCCCGGGGCGGAGGGTATTCTGATGGGGTGTGAAACTGTTCCCCACACATTTGATGGGGCACAAAATATTTTGACAACCAATTGATGGGGTACGAAATTTTCAACAAAGACTAATATAGTAATGCATATAGTACTCAAGATCTGTCACTCATTAATTTTGTAAAATATAAATTTACATTTCTACAATATATAAAATCTACCATAAAGAGTATATCAATATGTTTTTTACTTATAAATGGAAATTATGGTTGATGTGGGGGCTCAAGGCCACCAGCACCCCCTCCCCCCAAAAAAAATTGAAGCTGGTTTGCTTTCCAAAGTTTCACAATGCTATCAGAGTCAAAGAGCTTTAATCTGAATTCCATCACATACTAGAGCCTAACTTTCCAGTTTTTCAATTAGTTTCTGAGAACTTGTCTCTTGGTTTGACGTTAGACAGGGTATTGCTAAAGCGAACAACATTTATGGCATTCCCATCCTTGCTATCTGGGTCTATTATACTCCTCAGGTGCATTAATGCATGGCTCCAATTTTGTAAGGAGTGAGGAAATAGGAAAAATCTTTAAAAATTAATTAAAAATTAACAAAACACACTATGACTCTCATTTTTGGGTGAGATGTTGGAAATCAACTGCCGATATTTTTCAACTATTTGGTTTCCATGGAAACCGGTCACGTGACAAGATATAAGCGGTGATAATGGAAATTAACTTACTGTTTTAAAATACGGCTTGCCGACACACTAAACATTCATAGATATGTACAAAAATATTATCACGGAACCTTTTACTCTTATACTTCATTGCTGTAATTAGAAACTTGAAGATTTTGCCACAGATATGAAAATAATGCTATGAATACAACAATGTCTCGCACAATGTCAATATGATTTGCAATAAAATGATCGTTCCAGATTACAATGCTTACAATTCTAATTGTGGGACCAAAGTTGGCTGTACTCTGGACAAAATCTGCGTATTAACGACCCACATTAACGTTGTCTTATGTGTCGGCAAGTCCAACGCGTTTTTCGCGTGATGAATTCGCGCACGCCATAATCATTATAGGCCCCTGCCGTGAAACAAAATATTATGAAAAACAAATACACAGACAATGACTAACAAACTGCAACTAATAGTACGTGGTGCATTCAAAGAATATGAGAGAATAGCCTAATATGCACAGAAGTACAATATAATACATATGTTCGTTTATATATTGAACAGAATATTCGACACAAGTCTGAGCCTTTGTATGAAAGGATATTATATTTCAACAACAACATTTTATATTGCGCCCTTAAGAGTTTTAAGAGAAATATGTCACACTAAAACGAGTAGTAAAACATCACCACCCCAAGAAAGTTTGAACCAGCCATATGCTGGGTACTTATTTGTATTTCAAATATTTTTCTGTACGTGGGAAACTAAAGAGAAAACACAAATCAATGTTGAATAATTCAGACATAAAAACCCGCAATAGCGAGCTTTATATATTAAAGTTCAAAGGTCGCCGCATATCGCATATGATATATTATACTATACAACGGCCAATTGTACAAGAAAAACTAATAATTTACTATCCCTGCTGGTTGCTACAATCTAACATGATCCAACAGCCCATATTTATTCAATTTCAGTTTCATTCGAACGCTAAAACACACTAAAATAGCAACACGCTATATATGTTTAATCGCGTGCGCAACTCGCGCGGAGATATCAAGTCAAGCGTGGGCAGAGCCAAGCAAGAGCCAAGCATTAATCGGCTTGAGTA